TGGGATGAGGGGCTGGGTAGCCCCCAGGAGAGCAGGGGCCAGGGGAAGCAGCTGGTGAAGTTTGCAGGGGGACTCTTTGGTTTCATGGCTGGCTTGTCCATCTTGCTCTCAGACTGCTTGGATCTCAACAGCTCAGCCTGTGCCTTGCTGCAGGGCATCAAGCACCCCCCTCCTTCCCCGCCTCAGGGACCCTGCTTAGGATTGGGAGCTTTTTCGGAATCCCATTCCCTGGGCGCTCTCAATCTGTTTTTTTTCCCCTGGAACCTGGAGCAGACTTTCACTGTGGAAAGGTCGGCCCCTCGCCCCTTCCTGATTCTCCCCCCCCCAAAGGACTGCCCTGACCCCCTTTCCTCTTCTGATCTCCCCCTCCAGTCCCCAGCTCCATTCCTCTCCCCCTCAACCTCCCATCAGGTTCGCTGAAACTTTCTCCAACCCGGGAGAACAATGAGGTTTCAATCAAAGAGAGAGATGCACACTGGTTGTTCCCCCTCCAGTAACAATTATTTACACTGGGCCTGATAGTAAAGAAAAGTGTTTTTACAAAGGACAAACAGTCGGATTTCAGTGGTTGCAAGTTAAAACAGGCAGAGCAAAGAAAGTTACTACGTTAAAATGAAAAGAAAATGCATCGCTAGTGCTAATCCACTAAAAAAAAAAAGTATTGAATGCAAATTCTTACCGTTATGGGCTGTTCTAATTCTAGGCATAATCTTCAGGTCAGAAACTCTTTTATGCTGACCACCTGGGTCTCCAATCCTTTGTATTCTTTCAGGGTTTTCCAGACAAGCCCAAGACAAGGGGGCTGATAGCTTCCCCTTGCTTAAATAGCCTTTTCCCTAGGACAGGAATCTTGTTCTATATTCTTCCTTCCATGGAAAAATACCAGGGTCAAAATGGAATGCCTGTACCAGGCGGTATGGACACGTCTCTTACTAGTGAACTAATCCAATCACCTTTGGACTTACAGGACAAACAAGTCTGCTGAAAAGTCATTAAGTTGATCACGTAGGGTATGTCTACACTACAATGTTAGTTCGAACTAACGGACATTAGTTCGAACTAACTTTAATAGCCGCTACACTAGCGCTCCGCTAGTTCGAATTTGAATCGAACTAGCGGAGCGCTTAGTTCGAACTAGGAAAACCTCATTTTACGAGGATTAAGCCTAGTTCGAACTTACTAGTTCGAATTAAGGGCTGTGTAGCCCCTTAATTCGAACTAGTGGGAGGCTAGCCCTCCCCGGGTTTCCCTGGTGGCCACTCTGGCCAACACCAGGGAAACTCTATGTCCCCCTCCCGGCCCCGGACCCCTTAAAGGGGCACGGGCTGGCTACGGTGCCCGTGTCAGGTGCAAGCCTGCCAGCACCCAGCCAGCAGACCCTGCACCTGGCACGGCACAGAGCCACCCACCCGATGTCCCCCAGCCCACCCCCTCTTCCCGGGACCAGGCTGGCGGCTCCCGGGAGCTTGCCCTGGACCGCAAGAGGCGGGCACCTTCCTCGGCTAGTGCGGATATCGTGGACCTCGTCCACGATCTCCGCACTAGGCACAGGAAAGTGGTCGTCTAGGGCAGGAGAGCTGCCAGCCTGGCCACCCAGGAGCAGGTGTGCATGAAAATCAAGGGGGTCCACTGAGACCCCCGACCCTGAGCCCTGAGCTTACAATGGCCGTCCTGGGTCAGACCAAAGGTCCATCTAGCCCAGTAGCCTGTCTGCCGACAGCGGCCAACCCTACAGACCCTGGAGGGGATGGACCGAAGACAGTGACCAAGCCATTTGTCTCGTGCCATCCCTCTCCAGCCTTCCACAAACTTTGGGCAGGGACACCACTCCTACCCCCTGGCTAAGACTACTCCATGGACCCAACCTCCATGACTTGATCTCACTTCCCTTTAAACTCTGTTCTAGTTGTAGCCTTCACAGCCTCCTGCGGCAAGGAGTTCCACAGGTTAACTCTTTGCTTTGTGAAGAACAACTTTCTCTTACTAGTTTCAAGCCTGCTACCCATTCCTTTCCTTTGGTGTCCTCTAGTCCTTCTTTATGGGAACTCATGAAGAACTTTTCTGAATGCACCCTCTCCACCCAACCCCTGCTTTTAGAGACCTCTATCCTGTCCCCGCTCCATCTCCTCTTTTCTAAGCTGAACAGTCCCAGTCTCTGTAGCCTCTCTTCATATGGGACCTGTTCCCAACCCCTGATCATGTTAGTTGCCCTCCCCTCTCCCAGCCTTTCTCTTCCCCTCTCCCACCTCCTTTTCCCAGTCTCCCCCAGTTTTGTTCAATAAAGACAGAGTCAATGTTGGAAGAAACGTTATCTTTATTTTGTACATCAATAAGAAGGGGGGCTAGGGAGGGGTAAGTGGAAGGAGGTGAGGGAGGAATGGGGTACGAGCCCCCGATGCGGAGGACTGGGCTGGCTCTGCGGGCTTCTGGGGGTGGAAGCTCTCCTGCAGCCCCCCAATTGCTCCCTCTCCCCAGATCGCAGCCTGCGGCAAGTGCAGCCGGGCTGATGGCCGAGTGGTGTGATGTGCCCAGTGTGGGTACTCCGGGCACTCCAAGCCAGAACTTCTTTGCAAGCGGGGCACCCCTGAGAACTGTCTGTCCGGGGTGGGGGTCGGGACCCTTTAAGCGCAGCCCTCGGCTAGCCTGAGACAGCATCTCCATGCTCTAAGTCCTCCTCTGATGCCCTGCCGGCACTGCTTCCGGCCATCCTTAACCCCGGTTCAGGGTCCACTCAATGTGGACATGCTAGTTCGAATTAGCAAAACGCTAATTCGAACTAGTTTTTCGTTCTAGACGCGTTAGTTCGAATTAGCTTAGTTCGAATTAACTAATTCGAACTAAGTTAGTTCGAATTAGCGCTGTAGTGTAGACATACCCCAAGTCATTAAGGCGAGGGGGGAATAATGGCTCTCATTAGCACATTTCAAACTCTAAACAGTCTGCTATTTCTAATTTCTCACACAAGAAGGATACATGCACCAACATAGGATGTTCTGATTTGTAATATTAAAATGGATCAGTTACGTGAGGTGTTTTGGCCAAAGCACCTCCAAGTTACGAGCCAATTGTCATAAAGTGTGAGGGGAAAGCGTCACACCTGCTGCATCAGTGATCTGCCCTCTTAATTATTTACCCTCAGTGTTTGTCTTCTCTACAAATGTTCAGTGTTTTCATGTTTCCTTAAATGTTAAATAGCACCAGGACGAGAACCAATCTCTGTTGGATGCCACTCGTAACACACCCTCTCGAGGGTGAGTCCCCATTTACCGTTCTACGTTGGGGCCTATCAGTCAGCCAGATAGTAACACACCCTCTCGAGGGTGATTCCCCATGTACCGTTATACGTTGGGGCCTATCAGTCAGCCAGATTTAATCAATTTAACGTGGGCCATGTTAATTTTAGATCTATTTTTTCAAATCAAAATTCCACGCAGTATCAACTCAAATGCCTTGTGTAAATGTATTCAATCCGCACTATTGTCTTTATCGAAGCAACTTGTATTGTCACGACAAAAAACTAGCAAGTGAATTTAGCAGGACTTATTTTCCGAAACCCATGTTGATTGGCATCAATTACATTAGCTTCCTTTAATTGTTTATTAATTGAGTCCTGTATCAGTCGCTCCATTCTCTGGACCAGGATCGATGCTGAGAGGCCTGTTACTTCCTGGCCATTCTAATATCAGCACAGAAGTCTCTTGCTTTCAGCTGTCTGGGTCAACATCACCCTCGGGTTCCGTGTGGCCTGCTGATGGAGAAGCCCCGATGCAGATGGAGAAAGTCTTCCTGATAAGTCCAGCAAGTATCTTTGGGAGGCTGTGGCATCCATCACCCACCTCTTTTGCAGTCGGCCAAGCATAAGGCTGGTTTCTCACCGGGGAAACAAGCTGTCCTACAGTGCATTGTGAGGGGAACTGCACATGGTGACGTCCGATACGCCTCAAGACGCACTTTAGGACAGCCGGGTGTTGTTTTCCCAGTGAGATTTAAGCAGCGTTGCTGAGCCCCTCACCCCCGGATGCCCACACCTCAAAGGTTTGCTCCTTTCTTGCGTTCCTTTCGCCGTCTGAGCAGACGGTAAAAGCTTCCGGGCCACGATGTTCTCTGCATTCCGGACTGGCATCGTCAGGCGCTTTCAGCTGCAGACTCGCCAGCGTTAAGTGGGTAGGTATTGTTCTCCGCGTGGGATGCATCGCTCTGTCGCTGCGCAGCTTCCGCCAGCCCTTGTGCATGAGCGACCATGGCGATGCTTTGAGTTGGCTTCTCATTTTGCCTCCGGGTTCTCGCAGGATCTATTAGTCAGTCCACGGCGGCCAGGAGGGCCGAGGGCTTGAGGCTTTTCTCTGTCGTGCTCTTTGTGTGCGACTTCGAAGGCTGCTTTTAGAATAAAAGGCTCCGACCTTGTTATCCGGTTGAAATCTTTTGTTTTCGGCCTGGATAGAGCAGCCACCAATGGATCTCCCCATACGGGGGTGAAAAGTTCACATTTCATCTCCCGAACATCTAATTTTAGCAGATTGGGGAGAGCATGGCTCCTTTCGCGCCTGCTACCTCCTGCTGGCGAATCTATTTTGCATTCTAGAAATGACGCTACCATTGGCTCGGTCTGTTCGGTCCCCTTATTTCCTCTGTTCCCTTCGACTTCAGCCAGGCCGAGGCGGATGCATTCGCTGGTAACGCTAAATGCTGCTTGCTTATTTGGGTACAACAGTCCCGCTGACTGTGTTTAGGAGGAAATAGCTCCCTGGTGAACCTGGAGTTACTGTCCAGCCAGGTTTGTGGCGACCTTCTGCATGATTGGTCCTTCCTGCCTTCTGCATCTGAACAAACCAAACCCCTTTTTGGGGTCCACAGATCCACTCTTCCCTCCCTCACTTTTCAACAGCCAAGTGATTTCCTGCACTTGCCTCTCTTGCCAATGGAGCAATGTTCCCTCTAATCTTTTTCCTTCTGGTGCGGAATAATTTTTTGTGTGGGGATGTGCACCACCAGTAGACACACAAACCCAGCTGTGGGCACTCTGCTAGTCAGCAGGGTGGTGTGTGACTCTTTCCAGAGCAGCCGCACAAGCTCCCAGCTTACAGGGAACCCTGCCGGCAAGGGCCCAGGTGAGACGTGGAGCTTTGCCATGCGACGCCAAAGAGGAGTCTCTGCCCTGCCGCCATTTCTAGGTCTGTCTGGGAATTCCCTGTGGCCCTGTCCCCCTCCGGTCTCCCCGAGAGAGGAGTGGTGCGTTCCATTCGGCTGGCACGCGCCTGGAAGAGGTGGGCAGCGGCCCCTTTTGCATCCTGGGTGGGTGCGGGGGGAGGAGGGGCCGGGCTTGCAGGCTTGGCCCGGGGGCTTTGGTCAGGGCTGGGATGACTCTGGGCAGGCCTGGCACAGCTCTGCCTGTGGGTTCTTCTGGGCTCCTTGTCCCAGCTGGTTGAGTGGCGAGGCCTTGGAGTGATCCTCCATCCCCATGGGACAGATTCACACCAAACCCGCAGGGGGGGCGTTGCGGGGCTCCCCGGCGTAGCCTGGCACCGGGCAGGCCTGGACTAACTCAGCCGCAGGGGGCTCAGGGCGGCCCCAGGGGGTGGCTGTGGGCCTGGGAGGTCGTTACAGCTCTTCGGACAGAAGGACAAAAGCAGGGGAGGCACATGGAGATCGAGGATCCAGGTGTCCAGGGCTCCAGTAGGTACCAGCCACTCCCCGACTTGCCCTGCTCCGATCACAGCCCCTCCCTGCACCTTGGCCCGGCTGCTCCGTACCCACGGCCGTCCTGGGGTGACGGCCGCTCGTTCCCATCGGCCTCTGGCAGCTCTGCCTCCGTGTCCCCCTGGAGAAAACGAACCGCGTCTCCCTGCGGGGGCCTCCTGGCCTGCTTCGGTCTCGGCCTGGCGCGCGAAGGGCAGTGCGGCTGGGTCGGGGCTGCCCGCCGGGCCCCGGGGCAGCAGTAGGAGGCGCTGTT